TAAAACGAAGGTCTTGCTCTCCCCTTATAAGATGAGTAGAACAGGAAAAATCCATCACGGTTCAATGGGTCCTTGTATTTGATTTGAACGACAATCGACGGAGATTCCTATTTATCGGTGCTGGAAAACACCAGGAAACCAATATCGCCCGGGAAGCTGTAACAGTGTCGTCGATCTTGAAGCAGTATCGGTTAAACGGTTAATTAATCGCGGTCGTAGAGCGTCGTCACGGTTGCGACGTGCCACGAGGATAGATCGTGACACGATCGTGGATTTAGGTGAGGCGTAGTTGTGAAATTGTTACGTGAGTTTCGCGGCTAGGTTGTTTACAAAACTGTCGTCGAGTAAAGAGGGATTAACGGATGGTAACAGGGCCCGCCGAGGAAAATGAGACAATGGAAAGGGGGTTGCAAGGGGGTACGAAGGCAAGCAAAGTATGCAGGCCTGGGGGAAACACCGGATGCTAATTATCACGGTTACATCGAAATCGCGAAACCAGCCAACCGGCTTCGAGATTTTGTAGAACCGTATCGACCGTTTGGAAAGTCTAGGGGTTTAAACGGTGGAGTAATTATCACGAAGCATCGTATCGTCGACTATTTATATTATTTTTAACAAAGAGGATGTAATTTACCGCGATTTAAAGGGATATGCAAAGACTGCCATTTTTTCCATTCGTTTTGTGATTTTTTTTATTTATCGACAGGTACGTCATTTTGATATGAGTATTGGTTTTATCCAAAAATATTAAAAATTGTGGTTGTTGTAGCTTCTTGTTTAATGGGGGTTTTTTTTTTTATAAAAAAAGATGCTTTATGGACTAGAAGTCAAAATCTTGATAAATAAAAATATAGTGAAACTTCAAATTCTGAATTTATGTTTTGTAGCTTCTATAATACACGAAATATTTCAACCGTGACATGCACCGATACTAAATATTTCAAATAATAATGATTGTAGGATTGGCGTAACGTTTTAAATGTTTCTGAATCAATTATGGTGGAGAGCATAAGTATTAAACGAAATGGACAATTAATGACTCAGATATTCGAAACGAAATCAGGTTCCATTTACTGAAATATATTAACGTTTTAATCAAAATATCTTTCAGTATAAATTATCTAAAACTATTAGGTCGTTCCATAAATAAATGAGATGCTTTACCTCCTCCAGCCTTCGTTTCTCGAAAAATAATGTAAATTGATATAAACTGTCCTATTGGTTATAAGAAACTGAGCAATGTTGTTCCCTCTTATTTTCTTCTAATTAGAATAGTTCTCGATAAAATCGCTGGCTAATAATAACGTGAACACCCTGTATAGTCGGGGACAAAATTAAGCGGGCAGGTAGTGGAAATAGCTATAAATGGATATTAATCAAAATAGTACTATTGCTATATAAGTGAACTTTATTTATTATGAGTTAAAAATAAGGCGAAAATCAAGAATATCATAATAAAATAAAATTAAAAAATTTCAAATCATTCTGACAAAAATTATGTTCGGTAGCGGGGGGCAATTACAATCATTTTGGTGAATAGACATACCCCCGAAATTCTATGCATTTTCGAGAAAAAAATTCGAGAAGGTGTGAAATTTTTCGTAAAAAAAAAAAATTTTTCAAATCGTTCTAAAAAAATTATTTTCGAATGCGAGGGTCAATTACAATTATTGTTGGTGAATACACATACTCCCGAATTCCTATGCAGTTTCGAGAAAAAAATTCATTACTGGAAATGAATGTCTGACCCATAACCGACTGTTCCCCTGAAAATTGAAAAGTTTCAAATTGTTCTGGAAAAAATTATGTTCGGTAGCGGGGGACAATTACAATCATTTTTTATCATTAGACATACCACCGAAATCCTACCCACTTTCGAGACAAAAATTCAAGAAGGTGTGAAATTTTCGGCGAAAAAAAAATTTTTCAAATCGTTCTAAAAAAATTATTTTCGGATGCAGGGGTCAATTACGATCATTTTTTGTAAATAGACATACCCCCGAAATCCTTCGCATTTTCGAGAAAAAAATTCAATACAGGCGGAACTTTAAACGTTAATAACTTTTTAACGAAGCCTCCATCAACAAATTGGTATTCTTGATTTTCGTCCTATTTTGGCCTCTAGAATCTCCCATTAAAATTTTTCTCAGGTGTAAACACTCTGTATAATAAAAAATTGAAAGAAATATTTTCGTTTCTATAGAAGTAAATTGCATGTAATGACCAATGCACAGAATTGTTAAGTGACAAAAGTGGATATCTTATAATATATATAATATAGAAGAATTAATATTTTGTCCTAATATTTATTAAATTTTCAATATAATCTTTTCCTATAGTTTCAAATGCCAACTGGATATTGTTAAAAATATCCAGTATATTTCTCTTTTCTAAAAGGTTGTAACAAACCAATTATTTACAAACATTAATCACAAATCTATTTTCCCTCATTTTCTGCAATAATTTCCCGTCCGTCTACTAATTTCCCCTCTTTTACAAAAATTCTTCGAATCAAGTAAGAATTCCTTCGAACACCGTCCGACTGTGTCAACATTTCTCAACTACTTTCCAGAGTGATGGTTTTGCAAACTCTCGGAGAAGTAATAATCCGATGGAAACTTGTCTGGAGACTAAGTAAAGCGAATCACTCTTCACCGTCTGGATTCATCAATTTTATTTTGAAGATTTAGCGCATCAGTTACCCGCTTCGTTTTGCATACATTTCGAGCTTCGTCTATTTTTCAAGTCTCGAAACGTTGAACAGTTACGTTTTATACATTGTTAATATTTTCTAGCGAAGAATAACGCGAACGTGTTACTGAAATGTTTCGGTAAGTGAAAACAATTACGCGTTCTATTTTGAAGAATTTGAGCGCTGGTTGTACATTTTATTTTGCAATATTTTAAACCGATTCCATTTGTCAGCTTTCAATTAGAACGTTCGATGGCGAAACGCCCCGATCGTATTTTTCTTCCGTAAATAATGGCGAACCTTCGATATTTGGTTGGTCGTTTCGCGCCACAAACGCGACGGAATACAAATCAAAAAGAAAAACCAACAGTTTGTCACGTTCTGGATATCGAGTGTTGCGTTTCGATAAGAAAGTTGTTCGAAACGAAGACGACTCGGGTAATTTGCGTTCAGCTCCGACGGAGAATATGATCGGCGAAACACTAACTGCACGCGTGTCGACGCTCGGATCAATAAATTCTTGCAATTATTACGGAACTGCAGTTCTCTATCGCGCAGCTGATTAAACGTATTTCACTTGCATTGGTTTGATCAGACTCCAGATAATACACATTCCAGCGCAATATACTTATTTATCGATCAGGGTCTATATTAAATACTGCTTCGTTTTAATCAAGCACGAGAATGTCCCGGAAATCAAATGCTCCGGGGGGCTAAATTTTTGCGAAAACTTAATCGTCAGATTTAACGTCGATAATAGGTTCCTAATTATCCGTTCGACTGATCGACGCAATTATAAACTGTGACCGTTTTAATTCGTTTACATTCTTTTAACATTAACAAACGCAACTTGTGTCAACATTAATAATATTGTACCAATACTTTTTATCAAATGCATACTTTAAGAACAGGCCAGGAGACTCGTTTCCCCCAATAATCACATTTTTGTTATTCGATGTTCGAGTAATGCACATTTGAGCTCTTTTGACGATCGATCGGAGAAAAAGAAAGACTTTTAATCGTTTGAACGTTTATAGTAAATGTTAATGTTCTCTAACTAACTACTAACTGCGTCAGACAACATTAACATCAATCGTCGCTCGTTTCGCCATCGTTGTAACGACACACTTTGCCAAACCGCAATGAAGCACGGTACAACTTCTTTCTTCGAGCCCCTCTAAAAGCAAAAATACTTTCAAGGGTTTCACTGTCGATTCAATCGAAGGTTACAACGTAATGGATAGCCCTTATTCGTGGATGCTTCCGAAAGCGTGGCTTAACCACCCTCGAACACTCGTTTCACAACCCCTACGTTTGCCCGCGACAGAGTTGGCTCATTTTACTCCGCTTCGACACCTTCGACGTTTTTCACGCTCGAACGGATGTGGGAACGTTCGACAAATCGAAATTCGTGATACAAAGAAGCACCTTGAAGAAGCTATGTAAGACGGTATCAAACGTAATCAATACTTGATACGTTCAAACTACATCAATCTGGATAAAGTAACTGTTTCGAACATTAGAGAGAATTTTTTTCGTTGAAATTTTATAAACGATAACTGACTAACTAACTAACTAACTAACTAGCTAACGAACTAACTAACTAAAAAACTAACTAATTAACTGACAAACTAACAAACTAACTGTAAACTAACTAACTAACTGACAAAGTAACTATCTAACTAACTAACTAACTAACAAACTAACTGCAAACTAACTAACTAACTAACTAACTAACTAACAAACTAACTAACTAACTAACTAAAAAACTAACTAATTAACTGACAAACTAACAAACTAACTGCAAACGAACTAACAAACTAACTGCAAACTAACTAACTAACTAACTAACTAACTAAAAAACTAACTAATTAACTGACAAACTAACAAACTAACTGCAAACTAACTAACTAACTGACAAAGTAACTATCTAACTAACTAACAAACTAACTAACTAACTAACTAACTAACAAACTAACTGACAAACTATGTAAAATCCACATTTGTAGCTTCTTCCATATTACATATTTCGTACTAAAGGGTTTATTCCCGTTAATAAATGAATAATAATGATAATAAAGCCTGGGACGCGAAGACCAATTGTATATATTAAAATCGAATTGAAATTAGAATTCTGCTCTGTTTCGAATCTTTTTTTCTTATAACAAGGAACGTATCGTGAGGCCAAGTAGTCGTAGTGTTAGGTTCCAAACTGTCCCAGGGGCTGGTAAAGGTTAAGAACCTTTGAAACAGCAGCGCCCATAATCGATCCATCATGTTCCTCTAACAAAGTTTTCTTCTTTCGCAGATGATGCTGATGTAACGCGAAAACGATTCCCGTTCCTTGATAGCGTAGAGGGCTTAAGGGGACAGCCGACGGACGATGACTTAAGTTCCACGAGGGACCGCAACGATCGCCAGGAAGAAAGTAACCAAATTGCAAATGGCTCTGGGGCAGAATCGATACCGTGACGCAAAGAACCGTGAAAGTTCTCGAGGTCGAGGTGATTTCCTGCCCGTATCGCCGTACCAATCCAACGCGTTACTTCGTGATCGTTGCGTGTGAATTTCATGCGAACCGGGAGCCTCGAAACTGTCCAGAAAATAAATACGATGACAATTGTTCTCGATCGTGAGAATAACGTTTAGATCATACCAGGCGAAACGCAACGAAAATGAGTTTCTTCAATTCGCTACAACAGTACGTGAGCGACAGCGTCGCTAGCCTCAGCCTGAGCCCGAAGAGGTTCTCGTTCAGCCGGGAGGACTCGGCCTCGAGCACGACCGGAAGAAGCAGCTCCACCGGAAGCGTAACCGCGACGACCAACGCGAACTCCAACGCGCAACAATCGACCCCTCATGGTTACCCCAAGGTGAGTACTTCGAACAACTCTATCATTTATTAGGCGTACAAATGAATAATCCAAATTACCTTAAGCAGTTGTAAAATCAAGTTTAAAGCCAATAGATTTTCCCGCTCTTTTGACCGTTGACAATATCGAATTGTTTAATAAGCCTGGAGATTGTTGTATTTTATTTCTGACAAGTTTCAGTTTTATTATATAGTAATAGAAATAGTCAAGAGAATTTCGTTTCGTCAGGCAGTGTGGATTATTTATTTCAAATTTCAGAAATCCCCCGAACTGACAAGTTTTGTTTGTTTTCTATGTTATTACAAATTTTATTAACTGTTACATCGAGAAACAATTATAATGCATAATTGAATACTGTGTATATATACATGTAATGATGTAACTATAGTTTTGTAATTTTTATTAAATATTCTGATCAAAAATATTTAATTCTAAATAAATTTTGTATTGCAAACGAATTTAAATACAGTTTCTTCAAACTATCGGGGGCTATTTGAATTTGACAAAATTACTTATTGTTAGAGTAAAATCGTCTCTGCTTTATCGTTCGATTCCCAGTGTAAAAGTATCTTCAAGAAAATTCAACTTAGGATCGTGAATGTAGAAAGTTGAAACTTTTAAAGCAACTCTGGATTATTGGACTTCTTTCCCTTTTAAGAGTCCAACGATTAACGTTTTTTTATGACCAATCGTGCTTATATTTTTCTTGCTCGTCCTCTTTTTAGCTATGGGCAGTACTTCGTAAATTATTCAAACACGAGGTCTTCGTGGCACGCCTCTCAATCAAATACGTATTCATTCCTGAGAAATGTGCTCTTGTAATATCTAGAACTCGTGGGTTCTTAAAGAAATTTACAATGGTAGGAAATTATAATAACCAGCTTGTAACTATGAAATGGCGGTATCACTTATATAAAAGTAGAAAATAACAAGCACCGTAGAAACTTGTAGCAGTGGAAGAAGGATGAAATAAAAGACGCGTGAAATATCAAGGTGAAAAGAAAGGTTTTATGTATTTTTTCTTGAATTTTCTGGCAAACTCGTCAACCATGCTGTCCATTAAGCCCTTAAGTGCGGGAATAATTTGTGTCAAAAATGTGATGTATGTGGAGGGATCGACGACCAGGTGTGGAAAATACAGGATTCTTCTATCATCTTCGTGTCTTAATTATACCCAATGATTAATCGTTTCCGTGATCATTCTCCATTTATCTACGAATGTAATCTGTATAGCTGTCTAATCTAATAAGTGAAATTTTACTGTTAAATTAAATTAAAAAATAATAAATTAAACAAAATTAAAACTTTTTTCACGTTGGTATTTCAAGGCCAAAAGTAGTAGAAGTAACGTATATTTGTTAGAACATTTGCTTACCTGAAGGCCAAATAATTCGAATTTTTTTACACAATTTCGCTGAAAAATCTAACTTATCATTCGAACTCGAACAATAACCGTTTAATCGTTTTTTATGTTTAGTTTTGTGCATTGATTCGAATATTAACGCAATATGTAATGATCGAATTTTACTCAGGACTCTGAAAAAAATTTTAACTGGTGAACCTTTGGCTGAAATTTGTAAAACACTGCACGCTATGAAAGTACGAACGTGACCACTAGAATTATGGAGGATTTTCATGGAGGTTATAAAATCTTTCAAATAACTATCGCGATCGCTTAGAATGACCGTAAGACAGTAGGGTTTCAAAAAGGATGGTAAAATCCAAATATATCGGTGGCGAGCGGCACAAATCTCTTCTACGTAGAGCAAAAGAAAAGCAAAGAATGGAAAGCTCTTGCTGCTCACTGAACGCACGAGCGTTCCTCTGTTTACCGCCGTCTCTCGATCCGCCATCTTGGAAATCGTTGCCCGGAGAACCGAGGGCCGAAGATTCACCTTAATCCTTTGAGATGGGAACATGTCCGACAAATAATTAGCCCGATCTCGAGAGCTTCCTTCAAAGAATAAAATCTGTTACGGGGAAAATTGAATAAAAATTCTAATATACAGGTTATTCAATGATAAGGTTATTCATTGATTTTATTGATCGTTTTTAAAAGTCCCCAGTAGATAATAGGTATGTATATTATTTAATTTTCCCTTTGCAGTTGCATGGACGTCCATCACCTTCTTTGTATACTCCTTCTTCCAACCAAGCCTTCCAATCCCATTTCATTACTTATTTCTGTTCAATACTACTTAATATCTAATACTTCATAGAACTTGATCCTTGATACTACTAAAATTCGGAGGTAATTTTAGCGTACGCTTCTCATGGATGGTGGTCAGTTGAGAAACTATTCGCTGAATTTGTATCGATAGAGAAACAGCTGTAGTGTTTGTTTAAGTACATGTGAACTGACTGTGGGAGTGTGGAGCTGCTTTGATGCGGTTAGGAACTCGCGAGAATCTCGTAGGAGGCCAGAAAAGGAAAGTAGGGGGCGCGTTTAGTCCGAGCCTGCTAGTGGGCTCTAAGGCTTTCTAGCAGGCCTTAGACGACTGGGATATCGGGAAGTTGGTCGAGGAATGTATGTATAGCAACCGAGGGGTCGTGAGAGCGCTTGTGAGAGCGCCACCCCTCTGGTGGCGAGCATGGGAGGCGACGCCACAGGAGGAATTGGAAAAGGCAATGCAGTCTTATCAGATGCCTGAAGGAAACTGACCCTCCACTTACACACACACTAATGCATAGCCACCTTGTATATGAATTCAGGCGCTTCGTATAGCTTCCGGGATTCGAGGAAAGAAACAGTAGATTCTAATGGTCTCCTAAAATAGTGAAGGTATTTTATTGATATTTATTCATGAAGTAGAGCTCATTGATACCTACAAAGAAGTATTAAACAGCATTACCGTAGAGCGTCATACAAATTTATTAAAAATGAAAAACGAATTTTTGAGAAAAATTGACAGGAGGTGGAGAAACTTTTCGAGAAAATTGCAAAATTTCAAATCATTTTGAAAAAATTATTTTTAGTTAAGGGGGGCAATTACAATTATTTTTGGTGAATAGACATACCCCCGAAATTCTCCGCATTTTCGAGAAAAAAATTCGAGAAGGTGTGAAATTTTTCGACGAAATTAAAAAATTTCAAATCATTCTGAAAAAAATTACTTTTAGTTGCGGAGGTCGATTACAATCATTTTTTGTGAATAGACACACCCTCAAAATCCTACGCATTTTCGAGAAAAAAATTCATCAATGGAAATATAATGTCTGATCATAACTGTCTGTTCCCTTGAAAATTGAAAAGTTTCAAATCATTCTGAAAAAATTATTTTCGATTGCAAGGGGCAATTACAATTGTTTTTGGTGAATAGACATACCCCCGAAATTTTACGCACTTTCGAGAAAAAAATTCAGGGAAGTTGGACAAATTTTTCAACAAAATTAAAAATTTCAAATTCTTCTGGAAAAATTATTTTTAGTCACAGGGAGCAATTGCAATCGTTTTGGGCGAACAAAACATTCGTCCGAAATCCTACCCACTTCTGAGAAAAAATTCATTAGCGAAAATATAATGTGTGTATAAAAAATCGTAATTCTTGAACGTATCGGAGGATTTTAATGTTTCAAAATGCAAACAACTTTGATAAAGAATATCCAGAAATTCTACGAATGTTGGAATAGTTGTTTCGTAATTCCATGAAGTAGGAAACACCCCTATTAAGAGGGTCAATTTTCAAACGTTCATAACTCCTACAATAGCGAGTGCATTTCATTGACGATTCATTGGTTTACGAGATCCAACTAAATAGCAACGACGTTGTTTCGTTTGAAGTCCCAATGGCGAATAATGGTTGAATCTTTTCAGTTTGTCGTTACGGTTTATGATACCTCCGAGTCCGTTTTCTGTTTCAGGTAGTGCCGCCGCCAGGAACGGTCACGCCGTCCTCCCATGGCCGCACGTTGTCGACGCGCAGAAGGACTCTCGAGTGCACTTCCGCTCCAGGATTGACGGTGCACCCCGTCACGGGAACTTCGTCGGGCAGCACCTCGCCCCGCAGAGTCGGTTCTTTTCGGAGAAGCACCGGATCCGCCGATCGACCGTCTCAGATGTTCTGCCGCAGGAGACCCTCCTGGCAGGAAGTCGACATACATGCCACTTCCGGGTAAGTAGAATCAAGTACATAAGACCGGATTGTTTCGCGCGGAGCGGTGATACAATCAACCTGATTTGAATATTACAGAGAACTCTGTTGACTCTGGCACGATCAAGGCTGAGCCAGTGTTCTGTAATATTATTATTATTTTCTTCAGCCTTTGGTACAAGTAGAGTCATAAGGCTGAACGCGAGAGACCTCGTAACGATGCAAAATGCATAATAAAATAGAAAAATCAAATAAATCTTGTAGATCATTAACGTTGATGAAGACACACGATTTAGAGAGTTATATCGGTCATAAAGTGTTCTATGAAATTCTTGTAAGAGGATCGATGTCTAAGAGCTACCGTTGATCGATAAAATAGGCATAAAATTATACCGTTTAAAATTTTATAAGCAAACAAGAGGTCAACGATAATAGGAGGATGCTCCAATGATTAAAAAAATGGAGTTTTTTGTCAATATTCTTGGATAGTCATAATCAATGAGAAGACATTGGGCGATCTAATTTGTATATTAGAAATATATAAAGTGGGAGGTCGTAAGATGTCGGTTAGAAACTCGTTCAATTAATCACCGTATTATATTAATTCTTTCAATCATCTAATGTACCTCGAGCGTCTTCTTTCATTCCCGATTAAATAAATAGCGTTCGTTTGGAGCGCGTTCGGTCTCCAGGCTCGAATTACTTTCCTTTCGAGCGAATGTTAAAAATAGCGTCCCTAATGGTAACCCGTATACGTCATCGATCATTACACTCGGAGCCCTGCTGATCGTCGTCGAGTTTTATTAGACTGCACCTGCTGCGCTTAATTTTATTTCCGTGGCTCGAGTGGATTGCGTCGCGAGCAGTCCTTTACGATCGCCCAGCGATACTTCCGAGGTTTGCCAAGATGTTCCCCATTAAGTATAAGTAACGGGACAAAACCCTGTGTCCAATTTCCATGCACGAACAAACCTTTACAACACGTTCGACTCGCCATTAATACACAGGGATAAAGCGAGCCACTCTTCGAATTCAACCTTACTGGAACCGTTTCTTTTCGCTCGATTCCCTTCGAAATATTTTTAAAATCCTTTACGAGATCAAAACTTCGATTCAAGACAATATAACTTAAAATTTGTCTTAATATCTGCTTTCGTAATCTCCTTAAAATTCATGAATCCTATTCAAATTTATTTTCATTAACGTTTCATTTTGAGAATTGATATTTTTAGTTATTATAGTAAGAAGTTATGTTACCTGTACAGGATGAGGCACAAATTAGTCCACCACGATATTAATAATACTTAACCAGCAAGAAATTGCGTTGGAGTTTCAATCGCGATTTCCAGCTTTTGAATCTGGCGCGTGTTATCCCCTGCATACTCAGCAGATGGCGCTGAGCGTGCCCTAAAAAGAACAGGGAATTTTAGTTTCATTTCCCAACAACCCAACAATTTGCAGTTGTTTAAATTTAAAAACAAATTGATTCTCGATAAAAGAAAATTAAAATTCAAGGTCACGTTCGTTCTTTTACGTCTAAATACTATAGTTACGCTCTGAGGTGTATAACTATTTCAGCCATTGTAAAAGCACGTCTCAAGTCTTCGTTTCGTAAACGTTTTCGTTTATTTCCGTCGTATCTCTGGAAGGGTGCTTTAAAATTATTCGTTTTGCTGTTTTTCGCGATTCATTTTCTAATTAAACCAGGGAAAGGGCGAGGGCGTAGCCGAGAGAAAAACGAAGCGTCAGTTACCTGAATCGACGCGAACGGACATCGTCTTGAAACGTTCGCGCGGAAGGATCCATCGATCCGTACTGCTCGAACGGTTAGAACTTTGGTTTTCTCGTTAGTCATGATTCTTGGGGCCGTGCTCATGAGGTCCTTCTATGTTGTCCCGCGAACGTTTGATTTATCGCCGTTCGCGATGTTCGTGATTTCATCGACGGCTGGGATCGTCGCCAAAGGCTTCCGACAAATTTAGAAAGAAACATCGGATCCCCGCTCACGATTCCAATTTATTTTACCGATACCGACCTCATTCCCGCTTGTCAGAACGTATAGAAGGAGGCTCCTTTCGAACGAACGACGTAAATACCTGTTATGTACTCTTCCACAATGAGAATTCCCTCGGCGACGAAAGACAACGTTGCAAAAAATTGGTCGCAATTATGGATAGTTCCGTACGCGAAAAATAATTACTACGGGAAATTCGTAAAACTTATTGAAACGATATTATTCTAGGTATTTTTCAATTAAAACTATTTAGAATGTAATATGGTAGGCGAAATTTCTGTACAATATAAGTTTTTTGTAATAATTATATACGCCATATTACGTCAATGGGTGAACATAGAATTCGAACATTTCAATGACAGAAATAAGTATAAATTTTTACATGTTTCTTAACTCAGATGAATATTGTTAGAATATTCAGTTTGAATTTCGCGCCTTTCTTTTTGTTATTAAGTAATGTCGTTAGGTGGCGCTGTGATAGGTTAAGCTTTTTTCCCCTTCCTTCTTTTGTTTTTTTTTTGCACGAAATAAAGTTTAATTATCAAACAAATATATTATTTTGTCAAAAGTTTAAACGAAAGTTCTATAGTTCCGTACGCGGAAAATAATTATTACGGGAAATTCATCAAACTCATCGGTTGAAACGATATTATTCTTAGTCTTTTTCAATTAAAACTGTTAGAATATAATACGGTAGGCGAAATTTTTATAAAATATTAGTTTTTCGTAATAATTATACAAGATGTTCGGCAATCCTCGAGACAAATTTTAATGGGAGATTTTAGAGGCCAAAATAAGACGAAAATCAAGAATATCAATATGTTGATTGAAGCTTCGTTAAAAAGTTATTAACAATTAAATTAAAAAATTTCAAATCGTGCTAAAAAAATTATTTTTAGCTAGGGGGGTCAATTACCATCATTTTTTGTCATTATACATACCCCAGAAATCCTACGCATTTTTTAGAAAAAAATTCAAGAATGTGGACCAATTTTTCGTCGAAATTGAAAAGTTTCAAATCGTTCTGAAAAAATTATTTTCAGTTGCGGGGGTGAATTACAATCAGTTTAGGTGAATAGACATACTTCCAAATTCCTATGCATTTTCAAGGAAAAAATTCATTACTGGAAATATAATGTCTGACCAGAACTGTCTGTTTCCCTGAAAATTGAAAAGTTTCAAATCGTTTTGGAAAAAATTATGCTCGGTAGCGGAGGGCAATTACAAAAATTTTTGGTGAATAGACATAGCCCCGAAATTCTACGCATTTTCGAGAAAAAAATTCTAGTAGATGCTGAAATTTTTCGACGAAAAAAAAAATTCAAATCGTTCTAAAAAAATTCTTTTTAGTTGCTGAAGTCAATTATAATAATTTTTGGTGAATAGACATACCCCCGAAATCATACCCACTTTCGAGAAAAAAAATTCCTTACCGAAAATATAATTTCAGGCCAGAAATGTCACACTAAAATTTCTTGCGTATGTTTAAAACGTCATAACTTTTGAACGGATTGGACGATTTCAATGTTTCAAAAGGCAAACAACGCGTATTTAGGTGAAGAATATATAAAAATCGCCAAAATACTCGATAAGTGGATCCATGACCTCGCAAAATGGGAAAAACTCCATAAATATGGTTCAATTTCCAAACGACCATAACTCCTACAATAGTGAACATATTTGAATGAAACTTTTTTCTGACGTAGAGCTCATGGGTACCTACAAAAAAGTATTAGACAACTTTTCTGCAGTGCATCAAACAAATTTATCAAATATGATAAAGTAATTTTTATGAAAAATCGTCAAGAAATGTTTCCTGGAAAAAAAAAAAATTCAAATCATTCTGGAAAAATTATTTTCGGCTGCAGGGTTCAATTACAATAATTTTTGGTGAATAGTCATACCCCCGAAATCCTACCCGCTTTCGAGAAAAAAATTCGAGAATTGTGAAATTTTTCGAGAAAATTCAGAAATGTCAAATCGTTCTGGAAAAATTATTTTCGGCTGCAGGGTTCAATTACAATAATTTTTGGTGAATAAACCTACCCCCGAAATCCTACCCACTTTCGAGAAAAAAATTCAATACGGGTGGAACTTTAAACGTTAATAACTATTTAACGAAGCTTCCATCAACAAATTGATATTCTTGATTTTCGTCTTATTTTGACCTCCAGAATCTCCCATTAAAATTTTTCCCAGAGTTGGCCGAATACTCTGTACATTTTCATATATCAACATATTTTCCCCAAAAAAATCCCTAGTCTAATCATAATAAAGAGCGGCGTCGCATATAAAACGAATAGTTTGATTCTCCAGATTAGAAATGCTATGTTTCCTATTCGAATCTAAACTTTGTCGCGAAGTGTCAGTCGCGAAACTTTCGTTTTATCAAAATTCATATTGAAAGTGGAAGTTCCGTTCGACAGACATTGGGAATTTATACCGTCTGCCTCGTCTCTCCCGCAGTTCGAGAGTGCACGTCGTGTTCTGTAGAAGGTCTTCAGCTTCCCGCGCGGCGATATACTTTATACAACACGGGCCAGGAACTTCGTCGAACGAAACGTCGTTTCGGGTTTTGCTGGTTGTCGAGACGCCAGATTTCGGTTGGCTGACAATACGGAACGGGCATCGTCTATTCTCTGCGAGTTCTCAGCGCAAGAAAACTCCGGGAGTCCCCGGATACGATCCTCTCAGATTCTTACAACGCATTTTATTATCGCGGACGTCGTGCAGTATTGATCAAAGGTACACCTGCATCGTGTTTATTTTGCAAAGGAATGCAGGTAAACGCAAATGTCTCGCAAATAATCGTGAAACGAATTACAAAGAGCGACGTTGAAAGTCTTCTAAGATACATATTATGAAAATTATACTTCCGTTCGTGTCTTCGGGCGTTTGCTTGGCTGGATTGAAAAATGAAAACTGAGGTAAAAAAAGAATTTACTGAAACGATATTGTTGCTTCGTTTTAATGGGTTTATTTATTTTATATTATTATAACAGTGTAG